TTGCTGTGGTGCAACTAGTGCGCGTATGACCTCGTCTGATTCTCGCCTTATTACTTTTTATTTTTCAACATTGTTACTCACTCTATTCCCATTTATTTTTGGAAACGCCAAAACGAACTATAATTTGGGACAGAGGATGATACTTTGGTAGTTTAGCTGCAAATGTCAAAGTCATGAACCACACGGGACCAAAGATTTTCCTTTTTCCGTAAAAAGAAAATGGTCCAAATTACTTTCCTAAGTTTGGTCTATGGCCATGTTCGCTTGTCTTATAATCTGTACTTTTTAGCTTGTTTTTTTCAGCCGGAACAGTGTTTTTCTCTCACGACAAATCAGCCAGAACAGTGTTTCGCCTTGTTTTTTCAGCGAAGTGAACGGTGCCTATGTCCAAAAAGAAATCAAGGAGTAGATGTTAATTAAAAAAAATCTTCCTTCCAAATTCGTTTGCCTAAAAGAGAACTCTTTTCTCTTTTTTTTTCCACACCGATGAAAACTGAATTTCATTACCAAAGCAACGAAATTATAGAGTTTAACAGTTTAGCAGGAACGTAAACGATAATAAGAGTGCCAACGCGTCCATGCAACTGATCGCCAAGGGAATAGCTGCATGAACCCCAAAAACTACCACCACTACTGCAAAGAGAAAGACGTCTATCCAAAAAAAAAAAAACCTGCAACTCTGCAGGCACAACTACGAAGGCCTTACAGGGCACCTGCCCAAATAGCTCGCAGGCCGCGACCAACACAACACTACCAGCTAACCCACATATGGAACCAACTGACGCTCCTCTTGAGCTTGCGCCGCGAGATCTTGCTTGTGGAAGAACAGGGCCGCCGAGAACTCTTTTCTCTTTAAGAGAATTATTTTCTCTTTCAATAAATGATTTTTTTTTTCGAATACGCAGGAGAGCTGTGTATCATTATATTAATAGAAGAGAAAGGAGTCATACAGAGACCCAAACACACCCACACCCACAAACACAACACCAACACACCTCCACTTACTGACTGAAACTAATCACCTATGCTTGAGAAGAAAACCATGACCAGAGACCCTCTAAACATCAAGAGCTGTGTATCGGGGACAGTCCCCTAGCACCAGCCAAAGACCAAAGGAGGGCTTCCTCCCTAGCAAGGTTCAAAGCTGTAGATAATATAGGGGTAGCTCCGTTGAAGACACAATCGTTTCGATGTTTCCAGATGGTCCAGCTCCTAGAATAATGAGGGAATTCAGTCCCTTTCGCAAGATCTTCGCCATCTTGTCAAGACCGCCTTGTCCCACCAATCATCAAAGGAGGAAACATCCGACTCACGGGCTAGTGCCGCCAAATCCGATGCTATGTAGGATGTCATACCAGAATTGTCTTGCAAACACACACCCAATGAGAAGGTGCTTTGGATGTTCTCTTCTTCTTGATCACATAGCGCATACAATGGTCCGGATGAGGAAGACCTCTTCGAGCCAACTCATCAACTGTCTAGCAGAGCGATTGTGAGCAACCAGCCACATGAAGAAATGACACTTAGGGGGCACCCAAGATTTCCAGATGCGCTCAAATGGGGCGGCCCGAGGGCTCCTCAAAAAGTGCACCATAGGCTGATTTAGTCAGTATATTTACATGAGGCGGACAGCCTCCAAATATGCCTATCAGGGATCCCCTCCTGTACACTTATATCCTCTAGCATATCCCATAGCTCAAGATATTCCATTAAAGCTTGCACAGTATTTCCCCTTGGATATCTTCTCTCATTCATTTCATCTCATCAAGAGCGCTCTTCACGGTGTGTTTGCGTGCCCTTCCTTTTGGTACTAGAACATACAGATTGGGTGCAAGATCCTGAATGCTCTTACCACCAACCATTTATCCTTCCAAAAAAGGGTATTGGCACCATCACCAATTTTAGTAATAATGGCTGTGGAGAGGAGGCATTCAACATCCTTGGCGACTTGCAAAGGGCAAACTTGTCCAGATTTATTAGGTTCAGACTTTTTGAGCCATGGACATCTTACTCTTAGTGCAATACATAGAGATTTCAGATCGAAAATCCCAAGCCCACCTAGCTCCTTTGCTCGACAAACCTTGGGCCACGCGATGAGACAATGTCCACCTTTTGCTTCCTTAAGTCCTCTCCACCACAACCCTCTTCTCGATTTTATCAATGGCCTTAATTGCCCGGGGAGGTAGATCTATAGCCATGGCTAGATAGATCAACATGGCTGTCAAGACAAATTGCACTTGCACTATCCTACCAGCCCGTGTCATCAAATCGCCTTCAACCCGGTAATTGATCCGCGATTCACATCAATTATTGGTTGGAATTGCTCCTTTGTTAGTTTCTTGAGAGACAAGGGCAAACCCAAATACTTGCATGGAAAATTCATAATTTCACAAGGCGATAAGCTTTGTATTATAGCCATATCATCCTCCGAGCACTTTGAATTGGCATCACACTACTCTTACGAACGTTAGTCTTGAGCCCCGCGCATCCCCAAATAGTTGGAGCATGCTTAGAGTCGAGATATGTCCTCTGCACGGGTCCGAGAAAAAGGGGCCACATCATCCGCATAGAGGGAAATTCTATGCTGAATTGGTCTTCTAGATAGGGGTTGTAGCAGCCACCTCCGAAGCCCTTGTAACCATCCAATTTAAAACATCCATGACCGTAATAAAAGCATCGGAGAGAGGGGATCCCCTTGACGAAGTCCTCTTCTATGTTGGATAAAATCTCCGGGATACCATTAAGGAGCACCCGAGTGGAAGAAGATACCAATAAACCACACGAGAATATCACGCCATCTCGAGCCAAAACCCATTTTATCAAGAACCTCCGGAGGAATGACCAATATACGTAATCAAAAGCCTTAGTAATGTCCAGTTTAAGTAGTATTCTCGGCTGCTTTTGGGAGTGCAAGAATCTCACAATCTGCTGGACCAACATAAAGTTATCTTGTATGAACCGTTTTTTTAATAAAAGCACTTTGATTGGGGAGACCATCGATCGAGGTGACTTGCCAATCTGTTCATAAGCATTTTAGTCACCAACTTAGCGAAGCCGTGAACCAGGATCGATGGGCCTGAAATCCTTCACTTGATCAACCTCTCTCTTCTTTGGGATTAAAGTAATATATGCTGAATTTAGCATCCAGATGTTCCTGAATTTTTTTCCCTAGAGACTGACTGCAGGCAGCCATGAGATCGCCTCTTGATCACCACCCAACAAGTTTTATAAAACTTTCTAGTAAATCCATCGGGACTCGGAGCTTTATCTCGATGGCATACTTTTAATAGTGTTCCAAACCTCCTCTTGAGAAAAAGGGTATCCAGAGCCTCCAGATCATACACAGTATGTCAAGACCGGCCCAGATTAATTGTTCTGCTCTCTGTCACTGTCCCTCCCCAATCAAATTTGAGTAAAAATCAAAGATTGCAGCAGCCTTCTCTTCATGATTGGTGAGGATATTGTCCCCATCCTTCACTTTTGGCAATAAAGTTCTTCTTCTTTCTATGTCTTGCCCGCTTTTGTGAAAAAAGCCTTGTGTTGGCGTCCCCTTCTTTCAACCATCCAATTCGAGATCTCAACCTTGCCCTTGTCCTCAACAACGAGGTCAAGGCCAAGGCATGTTTCTTGAGGTTGTTACGCAACCATAATTCATTAGATCGGAGGGTTCTGCTATCCTGTGCAATATCAAACCGATGGATGATTTCTTTTATGCGAGGGCTAGCTGAGATGTAATATGGCCAATCTTCTTTTGGCTCCAACTTTGGAGGCTCTAGCTGTTTGCTTTGAATTTCTGGGACAGCGTTTGCACAGGCGGGGAAGGGGTTGCATTTGAACTCCACGCCTGTCATAACTGTCTCCAGAACTCACCAGTCGGGCCAAAAGATTCAAAATGAAACCATCTCTTACTTGCAATCTTGTTCCGCAGCCCAAGAATAAGTGGGCAATGGTCTGAATCATCTGAAGCCGAGCTCGAGAAGGCAATCAGAAATATCTCTTCCCAATCAAGGGAGCGAACACCCGATCCAATTTCACTAACGTGGGAGAGGCACTAGAGGGGAGCTGGACCATGTGAACTTGCGCCCATGGAGAGGTAATTCGATTCCATCGCCATATCATTAATCCACCTTCCGAATCTTCCCATCATCGCTCTGTTCGGATTGTCATTATTTTTGTCTTCATCTTTGTATATGAGGTTGAAGTCTCCTGCTACCAACAGGCCCAGTGCAATCGACTCCTAATATCCCCGAGCTCTTGAAAGAACTAAATTTTCTCCCGATTATCTTGGGGCCATACACACAAGTAAGCCACCAAGGGATTCATGGTTTGGACAGAATTGGACCGACACACTTTGTGATTATCCACTCGACTATCTGAATAAGCACCCAAGCGGCGTCTCGTGCAATCGAAATTCCTCCACTTTGGCACCAATAGAAGGGCGGCAAATGAAATTGTTGTCAAAATCGCTTCCAAGCATAGACAAGATAAGTTGACGAGAAATTGCACTCATCTTTGTCTCCTGAATACAAAGGATGTCAATTCTGGCTGCATCAACAAGCACGCCAGACCGCATCTCTTCTTGCTACTGAATTTAGCCCCTTACATTCCAAAATAAGATGTGTGATGAATTCATTTGGAGACAAACAGAGAACGACCAGGAACTCTAAGAGTAAAATCAAACTACACACTCCACCGGCCCAACAACAAAGTCCTCCTCAGGGGTGCCCATCCAAAGAGAGCACCAGGCGCCCTTGTATGGGAGGGTGTAACATGTTTGACAAAAACGCTGGGCGTAGTCTTCAAGAAGTGTTGGTCCAATTGCCCTTCTCATCATCTACATCCAAATCCAGAGCCCATCATCACACGCTTCATCGATGTGTGGGACAAGCCTTAGGTGATCCACAACCCAACCCAAAGAATCACGCCATTGCAAGCGCGCGAGCTTCACCGGGGGTGGCTTCTTTCTTCTCTTGTTGATGTGAGGAATCGGCAAAAGACCATTAGGAGTCTTTGCCATCTTCGTAATGAAAGGGTGGACCGAGGGGTTGCGAAGGGGAAGTAGAAGCAACAGCCTCCCCCTCCATAGTCGCAACCCTCCTGCTGGACCGGCGACGTGAATAGACTTGCAAGGGAGGCGGGGTTCTCCCCCGAAGTGGCGGCGCCAGCAGCACAGGCGGTAGCGGCTGAGTCATCACTTGCGGTTCCGGTGATGTGTGCTGCGGCACCGACTGCAGCAGTTTCGACACCGGTCCCCCCAAAATGAGCTTGCTCGACTCGTTGCCGTCATCAAGGGAGACCTGAGTGAGATCCTTGCCGGCAGGGAACAAGCGTGCACCAGTGGATGGAGTCACGGCCATGACATCAACGCCCCCAGGACCATGAATGGGGGTCCGGTGCGGAGTCACTGCCGCTACTGCCACGTCAACCGGCTTGGCCATGGCTACCATGCAAGCCAGATGAGGTTTTGGGAGCGGAGCCGTGTCCACGCCGTTCCGAATAGCAGTCCCCATCGGAGAAGCGCAGAGCGCCGTCAGAACAGGATCAAGGATTGGGATGTCATCCGGCGACGGAGAAGGGAAGAGACCTCCATCCGCATCCCTTGGTGGGTTTGAGATCAGGCCCAGCCGATCAGGTGCTGCAGCTTTAGGTCTGCTGGGAATATCTTCAGTTCTACGAGCTGGGCTAAAAGCAGAAGAAGAGCCCGGTGTTTGGGCCAAGAATGAGCCCACAGATCCAGTTTTATCAGAAGCGATGGCCAGCGGCTTCGTGAAAATAGGGCCATCAGTCGACAGCCAAAACGAAAGCCCCGGCATCTCCGGGATCGCATTCTCTTCCCCATGCCTTGGCACAATAACCACAGCCGCCATATCATCAATAGGGTCCGACTGAATCGAGGCGGTTGAAGGAATTGAGGGCAGCTGCGTCGCATCGGGCACAGGAGCCTGCGAGCCATCAAACGGCTCCACACCATCCGCCACGTGGCTGCCTGATACCGGACCAGAGCCGAGTCGACGGTGCACAGAGACCCGAGGAGCGCCATCTCGAACACCGGAGCCACGGGTAGCGGACTGCGGCGTAGCAGGGGCCTGCCGCCGGCGTCGACGTCGCCCATGGTCGGGGTCTTCACGCGGCAGAGGTGGAGGCAGGACGTCATCCGCCCCAGATGACGGAGCCAATGTAGAGGTGATCTTGATATCATACTTCAACGCACGCTTCAATGGAGGAACCTCTTCAGCAAGCACAAGGGGCTCGACGATGACCAACTCCATGTCCGCCAGGATAAGCTCAGGCTAGGAACACCATGCTTTGAGCCGGAAGGACGAGTAATCCCGCCGGTCAAAAGTATCAGGGTGGAGCTCTCGCACCCAACACCATTCATCCAGCAAGTGCTCCGCCGTCTCGAGCTCCCAGGCGTGCTCTGGAATACCGTTCAACTCGATGTTGACGAGCGAGGGCAAGACCACCGCAGACGCATTCTTGAGTCGGGACCAACGCCGGAAAATAAGAGTGAACGGCGGTAACAGCAGAGGCCACCCATCATTGTAGATACGAGTTGCTGTATCTTCGTCGGGGAGAACCAGCAAGCAATCAGCCCGATTCAGACGATGAAACTCAAGCGACTCAACCGGGAGTTCATAGCGGCGAGCAAGCTCAGCCACCAGAACGTCAACCGAAAGGGTCGTCGAGTCTCCAACGATCGAAACTGAGAGTGCCTTGCAAAGCTCGTCCTCGGCCCTGGCCATCCTAGCCGAGCGGTTGATGATGCGCCGATGTCGGGCAGGGACACCCGTAGAGGGGGCCTGAGTGCCAGTGTTAGCAGCGGCCAGAGGAGACTCGCCGCTATCCTCATCCGCCTGGCTAGGAGGCCCTCCCTGATCAGCAGCGCCAGAACGCCGCCGCTTCCTAGTACGGCGTCGCCGTCGTCTGTGCTGCGTGCCATGATCACCCACAGCACCAGAGCTCTCCCCGCCGGGTGCGGACTCCATGACCTCCATCTTCGTCGCGCCTGCTGCCTTCGGACGCCAGACAAGGAGACCCCGAGGCGCCGCTGAGATCGGAGCCTGACCACGACCGGCACAGCAGGACGCCCGGTGCCCTATCTGATGGCACTTGAAGTAGCGAGTCCCTTCTCGGCAGACGGCAGCGCGGTGAGAAGGTGCGAAGCAGTTGAAGCACCTCCCCCTGAGGTCCACAGGCACCGGACGACGGGGACCGCATAGGTCCTTCAGACGCTTCTTGCGGGCACGACGGCTTTCGTACTGCTGCCACCCGACGCATCAGGGCCCACCGCAACGAACACCTGTCGAGGCCGCGCCTTGAGGATGACCTTCGGAGGTGGCGGGTCCTTCAGCACCGCCGGCTGCGACGCGACAGACGAAGAGGCGCCACCAAGCAGCAGGGCTTCACGGAAAGAAGGGGCGGAGGAGCCGCCCGCGGACGAGGACGGGCTGGCGTCTCGCCACCTCTCACCCTTGGAACGACCTACCTGGGGCTGAGACAAGGAAGGGGAAGAGTCTGGCTCCTGGGAGGAGGGGGAGGACTGCGGATGCACGGCCGGGATGGTGGCCGTCGGGCCATGAACGGACGCCGACGTGGGGCTGGTGGACGAGGGGGCGCTGGGAGGGGTAGGGGTGGGAACGAGTATCATATCGTCGCTTTATTCCCCTTGAGACCATCAATGAAGCTCATTCCCCTTGAGACCATCAATGAAGCTCTTCAATAAATGATCATCAAGCGGTTCTTATTCGAAGAACCCTTGCCTTTTGTTTATCTTGAGACTCAATCATCGTGGCTCTAGTATGAATCTAAGGTTTTAATTGAACTGATTCATAGGATCGCAACAAGATAATTTCTATCAGAAAACCACTAATAATTTTTTTGTTTTTATATAAAAAATAAAATTAATTAAAAAAATAGGGAAGCCTCTAAACTAACACTTAGTTTAATTTCAGTTAGTCCAATTTGCCTCTTAATAAGATTTGTCTTTTCTCCATGTATAAGTTAATTTTAAATTTCAAATTTTGTGAGGTGTTAAACTACATTATGAATTTTCATCATTATTCTTCATTTTTTTGTATTTCTAGTGTTGATTTATTATTAGATATCCTAACCTGTCAAAATATTGATAAAAATTTATGATATATTCTTAACATAATTTATAGTGTTATCTATCACCTCACAAAATTTGAAATTAAAAATCAACTTGAACATAGGGAAACAAAAAAATTATTAAGGGGTATTTTCATCATTGTGCTTCATTTTTTGTATTTCTAGTGTTAATTTATTATTGGATATCCTAACTATCAAACTATTGATAAAAATCTGACATATTTTTTAACATAAATTATAGTGTTGTCTATCTCCTCACAAAATTTGAGATTAAAACTTAACTTGAATATAGTGAAACAAAAACAACCTTATTAAGGGGGAAATATATATGACATTCTGAATTTACATTTGCTAGCTAGCATGGAAATCTTGTGCATTTTGAGCTAGCAAAACCACTCCTAAGAGAGGAGAGAAAAATGTTTTCATGGATCAACGCAATTGATCGAAAAAATGATTCATACATGTACAGGCCTATGTAAATTGTTTGTAAATAAACTATGTTCAGGTTCAGTTGTTTTTCCTTTTGACAACACAGGTTCAGTTGTTGGATTCACGTTGGCGGAAGTAGAAGAACAACGCCGTGCATGCCGTGGCTGCATACGGGAACATGGTCCAGATACCCTGGTTGCAGAACAAAACAAAAACAAGCATGATCTGATCAGAAAGTGAAGCAGGGAGAAAGGAGTTGGGAAGGAGCGTGAGAGACGCTGAGAGGTACCACAGCAGCTGCAACACTGGCGAGGGCGACCACAGGCCGCTCTCGGAGGACAAACCCAACTGCTAACTGCAGCAAAGCACCAGTTGTTTTGTCACAGAATAGAGAGCTGACAAGTTCTTGCTAATGTTACTAGCTAAACCCACGACTTAGAAGTTGCAGAGAAAGAATGAATAACCAAAGGTCGGTTTACCTGAATAGGGAGAGTAAATAGACAACCGAAACAAACTCCTGCGAAGAAAAAGTCTGCTGATATACCCTGTTTATAACAGCCAAAGCATGTCATTGACAGACATTTGTGAGCAATAAAGTATTTGGTAAGTCACTGGGAGTTAAGCAAATTGACTAACCAATGCACCAGCAAGAAATGCTGTAGGATTCCGGACACCAATTGAAAATCGTTCAACTGCAGTAAACAACATTAACATTAATAACTTTAGTTTTAAGTACTGAACTTTTTCTTATTGCAAGTACTGAATTAATCATCTAATTTTCCTTCGAAGCTGCACACAACGCTCTACAGCCTTTCACTCCGAGCTACACATGCTTGAGAAAAAAACACTGAGAGTTCAAATGTATACCAAAGCCAATTAGGTTCCCATACTTCTGAACTGTTCGTGATATGCTTTGTGCTTTCTCCTTACCAATTCCAATCTAAAAAGGAGGACTGCAACGTTATTATTATGCCAAGAATATTGTGTCATAATTTTGCAAATATGAAGATGTATAATTCTTTATTTTCTTTCTTTCTTGGTAAATAACTTATCAGTAAGTAAGATAAGGTGAGATAAATCCCTACTTCACACCTTGCTGCTTATGTCTTCTGATGCTCTAGTTTGCCTGAAGAGTTTCCCTAGATAGAATGGGATCATGTCGCTAATACAAACACCCCTGCATGTATGAGTGAGTTACATAATAGAACACAGTGGTAGTCACTAACAAAAGCCAGTGTAGTCTACAAACCAAGGACAGAGGATGCACACACCAGTAAATCCATAGCACTGTGGAGACTATATAAGATGCATTCGCCGAGAATGACGTAACAAGAGATTGCCAAGTTCCATCCAAACAAAGTGTTCGTGTTAGAGTATGGCAGGGCCTATTGGGCCTGGGCTGGATGTATAGCCCATTAGTGTTAGGGTTAATTAGAGATAAGGGTCGCTTGCTTAGGAGTCAAGTAAACCTCTCTATATAAGGAGAGGAGATGTATCAATCTAATCAAACAAGAATTAAGAAGGAAATCCCTTCCCTCTTGCCCGGCCGTGGGCAAACGCCCGCGGCCGGCTCTCTCTCACCCTCGCAGCCCGCGCCGTGAACAGTACCCGCGGGTACTGTAGCGCGTCAGCCGCCGTCGCTCCCCTCACCTCTCCCTCTCAATCCTCCAGCCACATAACAATCTGATATCAGATATCTCGGTTCCGATGTCGACCTCGCTGCCTACCTCCACTCCGCCATCGGCCACCAACGCCTTCGCGCAGCTGCCTGACCCGCGGACGTCCCAACCGGTTCTGCCCACGGGAACCCTGTCGCTCATTCTCGAGACCTCGCTGTCGATGACCATGGGGGCGTCTCCCTCCGCCATTGGCGTCATGTCGAACGCCGAATTGACGGCAGCGGTGCTCGACCTCAACAAGATGGTGGCCGGGATTCATGCGTTCCTTTTGGGACCGCAAGGACCGCAGCCGATCCCACCACCGCTGCCCACGCAGCAGCAAGAATCGCCGCCGCCACCGCTTCCGGCTTGGATCGCGGTTTGTCGAACCCCATCTACACGGCGCCCGATACCGGCCAACCGCACCAACCGCCGCTCCCGACCACCGGGCTGTCATGGCGCATGGCGGCGCCCGGCTCCGGCGTCCTCTGGCGGGGTGGACGGCCCCGTTCCACGCGGCGGCGGCTGATGCGATGCTCTCCGCCAGCGTCGCCCCTCGGCTGACAAAGACGGGCGCGGCGCCCTCGGCCTCCGCACAGGACCCGCCGCCAGTTGGGCTTAGCTGCGCGGAGGACCTCGATCTCGTCCGCTGCGTCGGGGATCTCGGGCATGCGGTTTCCCCCACGGGCGGCGAGCATGCTATTTTCCCTGCGGGCAGCGGTTGGGAAGGCGCTCCCCTCGTCGTTCTCCGTCGAAAGCCATCTGCTCTTCTTTGTGCGGTGCAGACCAGCATCCGTCCGGCGGGGAGAAGGCATGGTGTCATCGGCGGGAGCGCACTGCCTAGCACCGCCGCTTTCCGCCACCGACCACCGCGAGGGCGCCTTCGCTGGCCGTTGTTGCGACTACTTCTAGGTGGCCATATACATGCACCCCTTTCATCAAGATGGTGTCCATGGGATCCAGGTGGTTGTCTACGTGCAGCTTATGCGTCGGGCTGGTGTCCGCCATCAATTGAAGAGGCTGCAAAAATAAAGAGTTCACATCTATTTTCGGTTGATAATAATAAAATAAGCCGAGATGTAAAAGGCTTGTTTTTAAGTGATAGGTTTGTGTCGAGACATCGTTATAAGTTGGTTAGGTTGCAGCTCGAGGACGAGCTACATGTCCAGGTGGGGTGTAGTGTTAGAGTATGGCAGGGGCCTATTGGGCCTGGGCTGGATGTATAGCCCATTAGTGTTATGGTTAATTAGAGATAAAGGTCGCTTGCTTAGGAGTCAAGTAAACTTCTCTATATAAGGAGAGGAGATGTATCAATCTAATCAAGTAAGAATTAAGAAGGAAATCCCTTCCCTCTTGCCCGGCCGTGGGCAAACGCCCCGCGGCTGGCTCTCTCTCACCCTCGCAGCCCTAGCCGTGAACAATACCCGCGGGGTACTGTAGCGCCGCGGGTACTGTAGCGCGTCAGCCGCCATCGCTCCCCTCGCCTCTCCCTCTCAATCCTCCAGCCACATAACAGTTCGTGCTAAAGAAATTCGAGCCTACATCAGAAGGAGGGGAAAAAGACTTTGCTTCTCAACACAAGCAAATGGTAGATGAATACACATATATAAAGTTGTTGTATTTAAAGTCTGACTGCATGTGGAAAATAAAGTTAGGAACTTAGTTGAGCATGGTCACGTTGAAGGTACCGGTATAAAGGACAGACCCAAACATTTAAAGCTTCTTCACTGATAAACAGTCCAAATCCAGCAGCCATGAGCAACCAAAAGTAGACCCACCTGAAGAAATTTGTTTACATGATCTGATATATTAGAGAAATGGTGCAAAAATAAAAGAGGACTAGATTCATGGCTACTGAGTTAAACATAACTTTTTATTTGTTTTTAGAACTTGACCTGTGTAGTTCATGAATTTTCTGCAATCCTCAGTTAGAATAATACCATAGATAGGCATGAGGTTTTTTTTCTTGAGAAATTTGTCCCTAGTGGCTCTGCACTCATTTAACAATGCTATCCTTAATATTTGGTGGTAGAAGCTATTGACCTAGTTTTGTCAAATATAACTTGATGGCGTGTGGTTGAGATACCTCCACAAAAGAGAAATGTACTAGAAATTCTACAGGAAACAACAGCTCTGCGAGACACATTCTAATTAAAATATACTAGAGTAAACCACAGACCACACCTCTTAATGCTAACATGCTAAGCAATCTAGTCAACAAGAACAGGGAATGAAAAACATCATTAATCCATGGATAGTTGGATACACTTGTTTGCCTTTTTTTAACGAACAAGCACGAGTCAGTGCTCATTTCATTGATAGAGAAAGGACACACTTGTTTGCCTTAACTAAATAGCCAATTTACAATTGGCTGGCAATCACCAAACTCAATATTAAAGAACAGGATCAAAGAAAACGTTGTGGATATCATTCCATAGTCAGATAATTCGTAGGTCCCTAAACTTGTCAGAGGGGAAATGGGTAATATGACGTTTGTTTAAAGCATTGACCTGACATTACTGTGTGGAAGATATGCATGGATAAGCAAATGTAGCTATATATTTTAGTGTTTAATCCACAATCTAACGGATGAACCAGGGTAGCTGATTACATTCAGCAGAGAAACAAATAGTCTGCATCTCACAAGCCACAAAGATAATACACATAGCCAAATTGACATACCCTGGTGTGTATTCTGGAATTATGACTTTCTTCCCAAATAGAGAAAACGTGTATCCGATAGTCGCTGCTGCCACGTCAGGCTGCGTGGAAGCATCAACTATCTGTGGCAGACTGAAAGAAGGGCCTGACGAAGGCTCTTTCATGACCAGTGAAATCATAGTGGCCGTGGCTGCAATACCGATAGCAACTGCCACTTTTGCAAGGAGTGAAGAAGCACCTGGGGTGGTAGATTCTACTTCCACTGTATCAATAACCTCATTTAGATCTTCTCCATCGGAAGAAGGCCCTGCTCCAGTCGCTGATGCTTTTGCAGTCCGGGGGACCAAGCAGGATAAGTTGCACAAACTGTTTCTGTTCACAAGAATACAAAGTCGTCTCATGTAATGATCACATTGCATCTAGGAGTAAACTCCACCACCCACCCCAAGCGGCAAGCGCCATTCTTTAAGTAGACTGGATAATGTAAATCTAGCCGATGCTATTATTAGCATGCCACAGAGGCCTAGATTCCTCAACTGTACAAGAAGTTTTCAGAAATCCAGAGGAAATTTCAGAAGAGATTACGAGTGGGTGTTAGTGTTAGTGAATAGTGAGTAGTAGTCGAAAAATCATGACAAGAGCACCATCCAATGAGTATCCCGTGATCCAAATAAGCACGGGAAAGCAAAATCTCGGCCATCCAGACAGCCAGGGGAAAATCTGCACAACCTCATTGCCCCCCAAACCCTGATCGTTCCCACCGGAAGAGGCTCCAGAACCACCTAACCTCCCAATGCGACCGCGTGCAGCTCCGTCGGGGAAGGCGGCGCGGCGGCGGGGCCGGGGGCGAGGAGTCCGCCGCGGCGGTGGAGGGGAGCCGAAGCGCGTGGCCACCGTCGCCATGGGAGGCGGTGGTGGCGGTGTGTGTACGCAGTGTGGCGCCAACCGGGCTGCTGACTGCTCCAGTGGGTGTGGGTGAATACGCTGCTGATGTTACAGAAGAAGTGTTCGGCTGGACTGAAAATTTTACTGTTTATATTGGAAAACACTGTTTGTCACGAGAGAAAAACTGCTTCACTTGGAAAAATAAGCCAATTAAGCCAGAATTCAGTTCAGCGGAACACTCTCTTCAGGATTTTGGTTTTTATTTTACTCAAGAACTCAAAAAGTCTTCTGAATTTTCGACAACTAATTACAGACAACTAATTGTTAAATTCGACAAGTTTTAACTGTCGAATTTAACAATTACTCGTCTGTAATTACGGACTGTGGGCGTGCTATGAAAAAGCGACGTGCTGCTTCAGCTGAAATGGAATTATGGCAACCGACGATGCATGCTTGGAGACTTTGTACCGTAGGTGACGAGAATCTGCGAGCTTTGAATGCATCATTGCGCGCCAACTGCTGGTGGACTTCAGTTCCTTAATCATACGGAACTCAGGTTTGACCATATCAACTGCCTACTAATGGTTTATTTGCTTTGCTTGTTACCAGCCAGAGGCATAGCCTGCTTTAATTAAATGATATATTATATACTCCCTCTGTCCTAAATTATAAGTTATTTTAACTTTTTTGGAAAGTCAAAACATCTCAAGTTTGATCAAATTTATATAATAAAATAATAACATCTATGATACCAAATAAGTACCACTAGATTCTTTATTAATTATATTTTTATAGTATATCTATTTGATGTCTTAAATTTTTATAATTACCTCTATAATTTTGGTCAAACTTAAGATATTTTGATTCTCCAAGAAAGTTGGAACGACTTATAATTTGGGATGGATGGAGTATATTATATATTGTGTTACTGCACAAACAGGTGGGAAGAACTTCTATTGCTAGCAGTGACATTGTAAGTATTTCTTTGCCTAAACCGACACCAGTTCCAAGTCCCATTATCTCCCATTCTTCATTCAAATATTTGGCATAGCAGAGAAAGGGTACAACCTGAATATTTGTCTTATTATTAAACTGAATATTTGGGTAGCTGTAGATGCATATATGAACGTCTGAATACTAGGATCACAAGCTTGTTGAGAAGTAGACACATACGAACCACATGATCAGATAGGGATTACTCATGTACTGACTTATTCATTGAATCCATGATCTTGACACCAAAAAAATATGGTTACTACTAACTGTTTGCTAATTGTTTTGGACTCAGGTGTTAATACTAGGCTGAGTTGGCTGCGTTAATTTTTAAGTGGATTTTAGATTTTGGAACTGTTTGTACAGTGGATTTAGAAGGTATAAGTGATCCTTTTAATGCTTTTTTGTATGTACCTTGCAATTATTTTAATTACTTAATTAAATAAATGGTTCTGATTTTAGGTGGTCAATCTGAAGCAATTTTATGTGGTCTAGATGAGGCTCTGCCAAGTATTATGGTGATCCTTTCATGTTCAGGTTTCTTCTTCTTTTTTTCCTTAAGTCCCGATCTAAAACACACATATAAAATATTGATAGCTAGAACACCAATAGCATTTTTTGCGAATTTGTGTTTCTTTCATCAGTTCATTTATTTTTTCTAGACGCCACCGTAGTGTTAGCACGGGCAATAAATCTTAATTTCAAATGTTTTGAGCTATCAACGGACATCATAAGTTATTTTAGGAAACTACATTATAAGTTATTCATCATTAGGATTCATACAATTTTTTTTTGTGTTTGTAGTGTTAATTCATTACTAGATATCCTATCCTGTCAAAATATTGATAAAAAAATATGATGTAACATAAGTGTTATCTATTACTACCTCATAAATTTTGAAATCAAAAACCAACTTAAACGTAGGGAAACAAATACTCCCTCATATCCAAATTATAAGTCCTTTTTTTTGTATATCAAATTTGTTATATATCTAGACATAATGTTAGTTTGGGGTTATCTCAAATTGAAATACTGAGGAACTAAACCGAACCAAACGTTAGTTTGGGGTTATCTCAGCATAGACTAAACTTTGGGGTAGTAATTTAGACTTTTTCAAAAAAAGAAGAAGAAGAAGACTGTCAGTAGTACCCAATCATGAATTTGTGCAAGGTAAAAAATTTCTGATCTGTATTTATGTGCAGGTTAATGACAATTTATATCTATTTAAGGAACATTATGTTACAGCACATTTGAGGATGTAAGAGGGTAACACAGAGAGCAAGAAGGAAAACATGTGGGAGTACAATGGAAGCCACCAAGGAAGGATCAGTGCAGAAAGGTCAGGGACAAGAGGGCAACGATGCCAGCCCACAAGAGGCCGTTCCCCGCGTTGGAGTTGAACGCCGAGGAGGTGTTGTCAGCCGCCCCTGGCGCTGGCGCGTCGGCGGCGATCACAGCTTTAACTGGAGGCAGCGGCGGGTCCACGACGTCAGTGGGTTGGAGCAACGGTGCTGGCGCTCCCGCCGGAGCCAACATCCCGGGGGCTGCCAGGTTGACCAGAGCGCCAGGTTGTGCAGGCAGGATCGAGTAGCTCAGGTTCAGCTTCATGTCACTGCATGGACTCCCTGCAGTTCATACATAGTAATGGTTCAAAGTTTTTTGTCTGAAAACAAAAGGACATACGTATTTGGTATAGCTGCATCATCTGAGATTTTTCGTGAGAAATGTCCAGTGTTTCATAGCTGACTGTCAGGCTATATCAGATACTCACTGAAGTAGGAAGATGCAGTGTCAGGGTAGTCCGTGACGATCCCATCGGCCACCAACGAAAAAGCGTAGGTAGCGACCTCGATCGTCGGGTCAGCGAAGAAGTCGAAGCCGAGGTTCATGAACTCGTTCTTGAGCACGCCGACAAACACGGTGAGGTTGGCGGCCTGTAGGCTGCCAACCGTGTCGGTGAAGTGCGTCATGAAGTAGCCGGTGATCTGCGCCACTGAGTTCCTGTGGATCCTCACCGTGTCCGCGAACTTCTTGATGTCCTCCACCGACGGCTTGGAGGCACCGCTGATCTTGGCCTCGATGTTGAGCACCCTCCTGAACGTCGTGAACTTCTTGAACGCCTCGAGCACCGACGAGTCGTCGGACTGGATGAACACCTGCTGCTTGGTCTCCTTGTCGTAGCCCGCCTTGGTCAGCGCGCTAGACACCGCCTCCACCATGCCGATCCCTCTCTTGGCGAGGTATGAAGCATGCTGCATGTGTGCATCGGCCACAAGAATGCTTGATCGATATTTTTTTGTGTGTGAAACAGACAGACCGAAAGAAACAACCCTAACGTAGGACGAACTGAATGCTTATTTCTTACCTCTATTTCGATCAGTATACCGGTGATGTTGCTGGCCTTGGCCAAGTCTAAGAATTGGGGCAAAGTCATCAACTTGCCGGCATTCTTCGCTAGAGGATTTCTTTGCAGGCCTGCCTGAGCAAACGGAGAGATGAGGGCGGCTGCTCAGATCAAGAGGGGGGGAATGGTTGTCAGTGCATGAGAAAATATGACATGACATTGTAGGGGGGAAATTAAAACTATGAACAAGTAAACAGATGTTCTTCACATACGCTTCAAGGTTGCGATCTCACTCCATGACAGATCGAACGAGAAAATGCCAGACTTGTTCTGGATCTCATGGACAGTGGAGGCTTTGGACGCGAAAGCGGTGGCCGCCGTAGTGGAGCTGGAGATATCAGCAGAGTGCATGCAGAAGGCCGTTCCATCTTTTGACATCTGAACCGTGCAATCGATGATGTCAGCGGCATCTTTGATCGCCTCCTGGTAGGCAAGATCTGTGCTGCCGGCGAACATGCCGCTCGCGCCGTTGTGGGTGATGATCAGCGGCCTGCTTTTTCCAGGAGGTGGTAGAGGATTGCCCTTAGAATGAGCCATGCATGCTGAAAAAAGCAAAAACCTTTTTGACTTTAAAAGGAGGAAAAGATGGGTAAGCTGCTACGGCGTAGCACATAATGTGCAGGTTTCCATCATGGTAGACAACTTTTTTTTTTTCCAATCCATGATAGACAACAGTTTTAGCTCCTTCCAGTTCCAACATTGAATAGTTCTTACCAACAGCTCCTGATGCGGTGACCGGGAAGTCCGTGAGCACACCGTCGACAGAGAAGTCTGAATTGTCCATGAACTGCAAGTACTCTGCAGTGGGATCATAGCTGTAGTTGTAACTCAAGACGATATCATTGGCAAATCCGGACGCATACACTTCCAGCCCGAGGGCGTGAGCATCTTTGACCAAACTGGTGGACGATGGCGCCAAGTACTGATCCTTTTCCACTGGCCAGATGTATGTCTTGGGCACAAGAATCCCAGCTGCGAATTCCTTGATGGCTTTTAGATCTTTCAGAAGTTCCCCATATGTTTTCTTGGTTGCAGGCTCCTCAATGTTTTCATTGAGGAATCGGAAGATGAGCTTTGTCTTGGCTTTCTTGAGCTTCCCACCCAAGCTTTTCAAGAATTCAACCTCCGGCGAGGAGATGTAAGAGAGGGTATCTTTTGGTAGTTCTAATATATAATCTTCGCTACTTAATTTGTGCTCCAAAAGGAATGAATTGTACTGCGAAAGTGAACAAGTCGCGTTACAAGTTAGATGCATAACATGTTGAAATAAGAAGAGGGAAGGCTCGTGAATTGACTGGAATCACATTTACCTGTACATTAAGCCATATTTGAGGGGGGTGGAGTTCAACAACTTCATCAAGCGTGTACATCCTCTGGGAGCCATCAAATGTGCTTGGGCGCGAAAAGATGTTCTGGATCACTGAGGGATTACCAAAGCAAAGCATGTCAAGCCAGTACAATTCTGACAGGAAGAAACTAATACTTCAAAATGGTAATCATATGCAGAAATCGAACACTGAATGTTCAGTTAGGAAGTAATCAGAGGGTTCTTTTCTGCTTACATGTGATATTCTGCGCCAGCTGGTCTGCGGTGAAATCTAGAGAGAACCAGCCATGGACATCTTCTCCGTGCAGCTTGTATGCCCTTTCCATCTTGGGGAAGATCTCAGAGACAGTCGTCGAGTTATCAAGGGTCAACCCTGTTTTGCAGAAGCCTATGCGGTCGCTTGACAATTGTAGATCACATAACACAACGACATCAGGCAAGCAGGCGGGAGTCAAGGCAAACTGGTAGGCAAACTGGCTCGAGTCAGGAAACAAGCCAGAGAATCCTCCTCGAGCTATGACTTGAGGGGGAAGACCTGTAGGATGATAGCAAGAGCATTAGCAGCTAAGCGGCATGGCACTTCAATTGTACAAACAGAACACTTGAAACTTGATAAGTGGCAGAGCAGACACTGCAATAGAAAATTCAGCAAATCTCTGTGGCAAATGCTGATTGATTGAATCCTGATAAGTAAACAACAAGAAAAAAAAAAAATGTAAAAAATATGATACCGCTCAGAGTCAGCCATTTTGGCCCTGCTGGAGGTTTCAAAGCAGCATTGGCTCCATGAAGCAGTAAGAGGATCAAAAACATGTGAGGATAGCTTTCTCCCATTTGGTCAGGAGGAGCACCCTACATTACAGCGCAATTTTGTGAGCTCCTGAAAAACGCAGTAACAAGTAATCTGCTACTTTCTCTTTTGAGAGGAAAGAGAATCATCAGGTACTTCAGGAATCCAGACAATAACTGGAAACAAAGAACATGCATTCATAAACAAAAAATGTAAGCAGTGGAAAAGAATTAAAAAAAAAGATCGGAGAAGAAGTCTACTAACGTTCAATGAACATGATTAATTGGTTAAGGGGAGCGGTGACCTTCCACCACACATGAAATTTCAGACAAATCCAAGCAAAAGTTGAAACACAAAGATTTCAGGAGAGAAACATACCTCACATGAAACTCCAAGAAGAAAATTGAGAGAAGCTGTTCTCCGGCCCCACCGAGGCTAAGGTCCGCATGCACTCTATATCAGATTGTGGAGAGGAGACAAAGGAGGAGGTTTCCAGACAAAGAAAAACCTCCTAAAATTAGATGGCTCCTGAATGATGGCCACCATTCAGCAGGCTAAGTTTAGAGCTCCAACTCACAAAAATAACTTGTTACATATGCTCCTTTTCCCAAAGGGGAAAATGAGAGGCGTGATACATCATGAACTGCATCCATCTAGCTGTTTTCAGTGGGGGACAATTTTTGACGCTTGAGACACAACTAGTCATTGCTTTTATTGTTGTAACCGATCTCAAGTCCTTGTAACAGCAGCCTTCTTAAATGCTTGTTGAATATATCAGGCATTAAGAACAGCACAGCTCCCACATTTTTTTAAGACTCTTTTGTAACAACCCTCTTATGAAAGAAAACATATTGCAGTTTTTCGTACATTTCATAAATTTCTACAAAATGCTGCAAAGCATAGTGATTGAAAAAATAAGTTCAACGGCATAGTATTGATCACCTAAGCCAATAATCACACATGAAATAGTAACACGGTGAACTTATTGGAATTTATAGCATACATCCATATATTACAACTCAACATACACTTGAAACAGAGTCCTAATTTTACACTCAGGTCCAAATTGCATTTGCCCTATTTCCTGGCAGCATTTAAGATCTTCAAGTTAGACACCGTTGAGAGTAATCACAATTTTGCGAGGGCTGGCATGGTCACGATGTTCGCACAGCCATATGCCCTGAAACAGAACCCAAATAAGATTTGGCAATTTGAATACATGCAGTTTGTTATACTATCAGATGGCTCCAAAGCTCACACCCATTTGCCAGGTGGTACCTAATCATGGTATTACCAATGCAAATTGAGATACATGAACTAAGTTGAATACCAGATATTCAACTGTGAGAAGGGATATATGTTTCCCTCACCTGCCAAGTGCCCACATTGAGACGTCCATCAGTTATAGGAATCCTGCATAGAGCAAGATGCAAACAGTTAAAAACTTCTACACAGTAGAAGAATAACATAATGGAGGGAGGAAATAGGAAGTGAGGAACCGCGTACGTTAGGGCACAACCAAACATAGAAGATTTAATATGTGCTGGCATGTCATCAGGTCCTGTAATTAGAACAGAACTCTCACTGTATTATCACAAAGAAAGCAGTACAGTTTTCATAACCAATGACCCATATGAGTAGTTTATGAATACACTACCCAAAAGTTCAGCGAATTTTTGCAAAAATTAACACCATTAAGACTTAACTAACCTTCCATAGTGTGTTTCCAAGGAGCATTGTGGCCCTGAAAATGATGACATAAGGAAGCAGCATTTTAATTGTACTATTTAAAAGAGAAGAGAAATTTAGGCCACTGACCTCTGGAACAATTCTGTTAAGAAAAGTCTCAGTGTCAGCCTGCACATCTGAGTCATAGTTCTCATTGATGGTCAGTGATGCGCTTGTGTGCTGCACTGCAAAACGAAAATAATTCATTTAACACTAAAATGCAAGGAATAGTTCTTATCTACATGCTTGTCAGCTCATGAACATGCATTTCAATGGTGACAAAAAAAAATATAGGCCGCGACCTTTACTACGAATTAGGCAAACTGCTTGCGCAGTTGCATGGCTACAATGGATTATTTCTTTTCCAGAACACGTTGAATCAATACGTATTGAACTTCTGTGCTAGTACTAGCATACCACAGATTCAATGAACTCTCTTCCAAAGGCATCCATGGCGTCAATGATCATGTCCAGTGACTGGAGGGACCAATTCCAGTGGATGTTTAGCAAATTGCAGCAAAGAAGGCTAAAAGGGCATTCAAAAGAGAGATGGAAGAGAGTTTCTTCACTGGAGGTATTGCACAGAACACAATTGTAGTCATCTAGATGCCTGTTCTTTCTTCTGAGAAAATTTCTTGTGTTCAGAGAAGCCAAAAGAAGAATTTCTATTTACTTAGAACACTTGATCGCCAAAACCAAGAAGAAGCCATGGCACAGTTTCAGCTTACTACACAGAATTTCCATCCGCTAAATGCCATCAACACGCGGCTTAAACATATCAACAGTTCATAAGCCACATTAAGACCCCTGAAGTTCTGTTGGTTTGACCGAATAAGCCGAGTGATTTTTTACTAAAAGACGCCTCGAGGCTGCCAAATTTTGATACAGCAAGTGAAGTTCAGTTCAGTTCAGTAAATTTCCATCAATTCTAAATTTCTATGTTCTATCCCTCACCCACCCTGTCAGATTTACATAAAACTATCTGTAATACTACAACTTAATAGCAACTTACGGCATGTCGGCATGTAAGCAAGAACGATCCAACATGGAAATGTCTAGAAACGCATGATAATAAGTAGGTATATATGTCAACACATACGGAAGAAATGCGCTAGACCGCACTTGAACCCGGCCAGGTCGCCCTCGATCTCCCTCAGAATCTGCAGCACCACCCGGAGGACACTTAAGATAAGGGAATCTCAGTACCAAGGCCACGAAGTGCGAGTTCGAGAAGCCCCGGGTGAGACTTGAGAGAGAGCGGATGGGACCTTGGGGGTGATGAGGTGGCAGCCCCGCCGTTGTGCGGGGATAACGACGGTCTTCTGGGCCCACTTCGCGGCCATGGAGCGGGGCGCGATGAGGCAGGAGGCGGCGCCGGGACCAGGAGGACGGGACCGGGCGGCGCCCGTGCTGCGGTAGTGCTGGTTGTTGCCTGGTTGCCTGGTTGGGGGCGCTCGCGGCGGCACGGGAAGACGCGGCAAGAGCTTGAGGTGGCGACCGCCGAGGTGGGGGCGGCGTGGGCTTGTGGCTGCGAAGGAGCACTCCGATACGGATTCGCGGAGAAAATTGGAATTTTGCCCATATATGGCAGATGGGTTTCGCTCAAAGTTACGGGGCTTCGCCAAAATATCACTATGAAACTGGTACTTCATGTTGTTTTGCTATTTTGTGATTTTAGACAACTTTGAAGTTTTTTCAGCGTAACTTTTCACATTCTGTGACCATTTTACCTTGGCTCCATTTACCTCATCCCCTCCTCTCCCATGGGAGGCTGCCCCCTGACGCACGGTCGTAGGCCAGGACACACTTCACCAGGCACGGCAGCACCCGCACCTAGCCCAAGCCTCATCGCCATCGTCGGCCCCCGAGCCAGGCTGGGCCTGCGGGCACCGCATCCTGGCCTGCGTGCGCGGTGGCCTAGGGCAGCACGGCCTGGCCGCTGACCGGCGACGCGAGCAGGGGGTCGAGAGGCACGGCTTGTGGCATCGCGCAGGAGGCGACGGGGTGGCCTGGGGAGGAGCGACAGGGGGAGGTGGCCGCTGGCGTCGGGCGGGCTCCCGCGCGGAGCTCGGTCGTCCTCCGTGCCGGTGAATGCGAACAGGTGGGAGCACTTGCTCTGCGCGCGCCGGAATGATGAGCACGGGCGGCGGCGCCGGGCGCGGCGACACGGGCGCCGACCACGCGTGGTCGCTGCTGCTCTCACTCCCGCAGTCCCGCTCCCAGAGAAGGACTCCGAGGAGCTCTAGCTGATGGGCGCCGCGCAAACCGCCGCTCCCAGGAACGCCAGCCCGTGCGGGATGGAGGCGTCGAAGATGCGGTGGCTCGTGTAGGGGAACGCCGGCTCGTGTGGGACGGAGCTGCGGGGGCTCGCACAGGGGCGACGGGGTGGCCTGCCGTGACGGAGACGAGAGGGAACGAGGGGATAAGGTAAATGGAGGCTGGGTAAAACGGTCACAAAAGGTAAAAAGTTGGGCTGAAATTTTTTTAAAGTTGCTTAAATTTACGAAATGACAAAATAGCATGAAGCACCTGTTTCATAGAGGCATTCTGGCGAAGCCCACAACTTCGATGGCATTTGAGCGAAACTCATCCGGAATGAGGGCAAAATTCCATTTTTCTCGGATTCGCGGTCGTCAGATGGAAGGATGAACGGGCGCGTGGATCGCCTACTAAAGATATATACGAGTTATGATTATTTTGGCTATCATATCATCAAAACAAAATAATTTTGGCTAAGAGCATCCACAAGAGCTCATCTGTTTTTTTTGTAAGGGCATCTTTGTTTATTCAGTTTAACAAGAAGTTATTGAAAGCAGGATAAGAGCAATTCCAAAAAAACTCTCTGGATCCTTCCCAATTGCTAGGAATAGACATTTTGGTAAAAAAAATACCTTTCAGCAACTTCTTTAATTGTTATTTGAATATAGTCATCTTCTATTTTAGAATTCTTGCTAGCCAACGATAGAAAACGAGAATGGTTCCCAAAGTGCACACAAGGTATATAAAAAGTATTGAAGAGCACAAAGATATATAAAAGTGATTTTATGCAAATGGCTCTCCAGATGATGATTTAGATAGTGAGTTTAAAAAGACTCTTGAAGATGCTCTAAAGTTTCTCCAATAAGTGTTATGAAGCATTTGAATAGCAGTGCAAATTCTAGCATGAGACTGGTTTTGACAAAGAAAATTACATGGATGAGGAACAAACCGACGAGCCTGTTAGATGGCAAGAATCTCTCTATGTCCTATGGTCAGTCTTAGTGGATGTTCTACGAGAATTTCATGGTCATTAAATAAACTGAAATACCATTAGTATAATTGAAGACAAAGATGATAAAAATTTTATGGGATAAAATGAGTTTTAATGAGGATAAAACTTGTCTACTACCTCTGTCCCAAAAAAAATGCCACGAGAGAGTTCGTGATGATCAAACATTCATAAATTCGACTAGATTTGTATAAAATATTATCAACATTTATATCTTAAAATAAATATATTTAATGATTAATCTAATTATACTAATTATATGCCATCAATATTAATATTTTCTTGTATGTATTAGGTCACGATTAAAAATATTTGAGTTCTTTAGAAGTGAGATTAACACTTTTGTGGGACGGAGAGTACAATGTTTTCAACACACATGAGTTTTAGAAATTGTGACATAAAACTCCCATGAAGACTAGCTCAATGTTGATATCTTGGAAAGAGTGTACACCCATTTCGATGCAAAATGAAACACATCTGCGTATTTTTCTTGCTACTCCACCATCTTTGTCTACATGCACAATCTATTTGAAATGCTGGATTTTTTTGTATGTTCTATTTTTTTCTGTGAAATTGAATTGATTGTGAAGTTCTTATGTTCCAATCGGTTTGAAACCTCATCAAACTTTTATTGAGCATGGGCTAAGATTCATGGTGCGCAATCCTGAGGACTGTCTTGTCATGAGGGGGTGAGTAACAACTCATTTGCAATTTTGTAAAGAGATGAATGTAAAGAGGGATTAGACGGACCCACCTTTGTTCCTTGCACCTAAACAGCGTCCGGGTACCGTAGCAGATGGTTTTTTTAAACTATACCACGCTTAACAACGCGCGCATCCTCGCTCCTACAAATACACGCACGTAAATCCTACCCTATGAGCCTTTGCATCATATAACATCACATAAATTGGGCTTTGTTTACCGGTTAGGAACTGTAGATCGACCTGAAAGCCTTGCAACATATAATATAGGAAAAAGTCCATATTACCTCATCCCTGAACTTTTAAAATTGTTCGTTTTACCTCCCTGACCAGTTATAAGCGGTTTTTAAAGACAATTTTATCTTTTTTTTTTTTTTTATTTATTTTGGTTGAATTTTTGAAAAATCAAAATAAATCACAGAAAAATCATAAAATAGAAAATTAATTTTGATGGACTCCACATGAGTAGATATACACAGTGAACATATAATATGGTATGATTTAATATATTTTTTCTATAACTTTAGATTTATGTTTTTGTAATTAATTCATAGTTGTAGTTTCTATGGTCCAATTGTGGTGAAATTTTTAAGATATGCTAACTATTGTATTCTTGAACTATAGTAAAATTTTCATACTCATTAGATCATGTATAACTTAGTTATAGATAGTATTTATAAATCTATAATTAAGTTATACATGACCCAATGAGTATAAAATATTTACTATAGTTCAAGCATACAATAATTAGTCCATCATAAAAATTTCACCACAATTAGACCATAGAAACTACAACTACTAATTAATTACAGAAAAGCATAAATCTAAAGCTACAGCAAAAAAATTATACTAAAACATACCATATTATATGTTAACTGAGTGGATCTACTCATGTGGAGTCCAATAAAATGTAATTTTCTATTTTATGATTTTTCTTTGATTTACTATGATTTTTAAAAGATTTAAAAAATAATAAAAAAGGAAAAGACAAAACCGTCTTTGAAAATAGCTATAACCGGTCAGGGAGGTAAAACGAACGATTTTAAAAGTTTAAGGAGGTGGTTTACCTGATTTTATAGTTTAGGGAGGAAAAACACACTTTTCGTAAAAGTTGAGGAGATAATGTGGACTTTTTCCTCTAATATAACATCACATAAATTGGGCTTTATTTAGCAAGGCTTTGATATGGCCTTAATTTGAGGCAGACTGGATTAGGCCCAGTTACGTTAGCCCATGGCCATCGTGAAAATCACAAATTGAAAAGGTGGGGTGGGTGTGTAACACGGCATCAGAAGGGGATAGCATCATCATCGCAAAATGCAGGCGCTCCTACTCCCCGCGCGGGCCGCGCCGCCGCCGCCGGCGGCGGCGATGCTTCGGCAGCGTGCGGTTTCGGCGTCCGCGTGTGCGTCCCAGGTCTGCCGCACCCTACTCAGTGCCTCCGGTTGCTTCAGCTGTGGGGTCCACGGAAGCGCTCGGCGGCACCTCACAGTGGCGGTGGCGGCGGCCCCGTCCTCGCCCTCGCCCTCGCCCTCGTCGGGACCGCTCTACCCGACGCCTCCACCCACCGAGCAGGAGGTGGAGCGGGTCAAGCTCGAGCAGGTGCCTTGCTATTTCCTTTTCTTCCTTTGGTCTATTGGTTCGAAGCCCCTGGCCGTGCTCTGTGGGTGGAGTAGGGTTTATGTGATAGTTTGTGTGAGGAATTTCGTGCTCTGGTGCTCTCTGGCAACCTTCCATCAACCTTGAAGATTTTTGAGGCTCCTTCCATCAAGAAATCTAGTTAGCTGTGGACTATGTAGATGGTTTCTTGTTTGAGGAAATGCACTTGGGCAGGATTGGTTTTGCGGCACTGGGTGAGATGTGTGTTATGTCGCTTATCAGGAAGGATTAAGTCCACTTTTAGCCCCTCAAATATTGCGTCGGTCTAACAAAACCGTTCACTTTTAGCACCTGGGCGCGGGTGAGGCTGTTTTGTTCAACATGGAGCGGTTTTGACACGCAACCTCCATCTCAGTGACATGTGGGGCCCACGCGTCATCGACTCAACCCCTCCCTCTCCATCCTCACGGCCACTCCCCCGACGCGTCCTCTCTCTGCGGCGAGGCGAGGCTCTCTCTCTCCGACGCAGGTCGGCGGCCGGGCTCCACTCCTCTCGTGGCGCCGACCCTCAAGCGGTCCCAGAGCGAAGCAGCGGCGCTGGCCTCCCACTCCTCTCGGCGGTCCCGGGGCCGTCATGGTGCTGTGTCGTCGCCGTGCTGGTGTTGCACCCGTGCTGTGCCGAGTAGTGCCGCTGCCGCGCGGTGCTGCTGCCGAGCTCGCGCATGGGGGCTGCTGTGGGTGCTGCGTAATGCGGGTGCCTGCCTCTGCCGGACGACTAGACCAAATGCCACCGAACGCCATAATGGTGGGCAAGTACGAGTAGGAAGGAGAGGGGTATACACCGCCTCTGCTCGCTGCTCCACTTCACTCCAGACCTCTTAGCGCTTCCCAGCAGCAGCTAGCCAGCCAGCGCCGCGGCAGGTGCACGCGCCGCACGCGATGGGGTGCAAGGGTCCAAGCTCGACGACCAGAGGTCGCCGCGCGCTCGCCTGCTGCCGCGCCGAGCCAGCTGCTCGCCGTGGCCGTCCGCCACCCACCTTACGCTGCCGCGCCAAGCGCCGCCGCGACACTCGCGGACTCCATCGACTTCGTCGGCCACGCACCATCGCGACCGCCTCCTCCGCCTCTGAAGCGGCCGAAGTCACCGGGCTCACGCTACCCTCCATCGCCGCGCTCTCCTTCGACCCGTCGTAGAAGTCGCGCGCTTGCTACTGCGCCGGTCATTCCTCGCGCCTCGGCTTCGGCGCGTCGTCCGCCGGATCCGAGCCGCGTCGCCGGGCCGACTTCCTCCTCGCGTCGTGCGTCCCGAAAGCAGCTACAGCACCAGATTACTCTCGCGATAGGCTCACGGGCTGCTCCTCGAAGCTAGACGTGCTTACGTCGCGCGCCGAAAGCGAGCGGCGACGACGACGAGCAAGGCGCGCAAGCGGCATGGCGCAAGCGCGGCAAGGTGTGCGGTGGCGCTTAGCAAAGACGACGCATGACACACACGCGAGCGGTATGGCGGCGACCTGAAGCAAGACAAATTTGGCCGATTGCTTGCGAGAGCCATGGCCGTGAGGATGGAGAGGAGGGATTGAGTCGATGACGCTGCATGGGCGGACCTACGGCCCGCCGGGTATTCCCGTCACCCTACATTTCGTGGAGAAGCATGGGCTACTGTAGAGAGAGTGTTTTCAATAATGAATTATGTGAAGAACAAGTTGAGAAATAGGATGGGCATACCCTACTCTAAAATCCTGGGTCCGCCACTGTTGACGCGTGGGCCCAACATGTCACTGAGATGGAGGTTGCATGTCAAAACCGCTCAACGTCGGTCAAAACCGACTTGCCCCTGCCCAGGTGCTAAAAGTGAACGGTTTTGACAGTTGGGGTACCGATACTAGACGATTTTAGTAGTTGAGGGTTAAAATTAGACCGACACAATAGTTGAGGGGCTAAAAGTGGAACTTAATCCTATTAGGAATTGTTACAACCTAGGGAGAAGGAACGCAAACAAATTTGTGGGGAGCTAGTTAAGGGTAGATCTTTGTTGGTAGTTGGTCATTCTTCATTCTCCACTGTAGCATCAGCTTGTTGTCAGATAGTTGATAGGCATGATTACTCTTGTTCATCAGTGATTTTGAAACTGGCATAATTTCTGACTGACATTTTCGTTAAGCATTTATTGCTTTCCAATTCTAAAAGCATCTACGAAGGCATGCTTGCAGTTTAGTTCCATGTGCTTATTAGGATTTCTTAGTTCATGCCTAGGCACTTAGGTTTCTTATTAATACAAGTGGCATGAAAAAATAGTTTTAACTCAGATGCCATTTAATCGAGGTATACAAATTATGGAAGTTCTAGTACAATGAGCTGGTTAATATCCACTCTTTTTTGTTTGAAATCATGTTGCTTATTGACATGGTGTCATTGTTAAATTGATTATGTGTTTCTTGCTCGTCTCTAAATGGCCTCGCACATGTATAGTGATTCTGAAATATCGGTTTTTCTCTATTTCTTCTGTATTGGCTAAATGGACAGGTTATGAGGAGACTAGAGAAAACAGCAAGGTATTTCAAGAATTTGGGTACCTTTGGGTTCTGGTTCCAGTTGGTGTGCACAATTGTTTCTGCTGGAATTTTGGCATTCTCTACAGTTGTAACGGGGAAGGTGACAGCACCCTTTACATTCTATGCAACTGCGGCTGGTATTGCTGCTGCTTTTATCTCAGTCTTCTGGTCATTTGGTTACATCCGTCTCTCTGAAAGGCTTAGAAGAACATCAAAAGAACCTGCTAAGGTAGTACCCCCTTTTCTCAACTATGCACTGATTTTACATTGTTAGCCGCAATAACAGAACTATTCACATGAAAGAAGTTTTCCCAAAAGTCTTCGTAGACCTCTTTCCAGTGAAAAATCTCTGCACCTCTTTCCCACTGGCTTTGGCTCATCTTTTTTACCTGCCTACTGCCATTCCTTGTGCTACCGAGGTGGTTCAGACCATGATATTTACTCCTTCTGTTTCAAATTATAAGATGTTTTGGCTTTTCTAGATACATTGCTTTTATTATGCATCTAGACATAGTGTATATCTAAGTGCATAGCAAAAATTATAAACCTAGAAAAGCCAAAACATCTTATAATTTGGAACGGAGGGAGTATCAATTATCATAGACAACTTCTAGCTGTTTTTTAACATATGTATTGTATAGTTAACTTTGTTTGGCAAGCTTGGTTAAGTTAGAAATGAAACTGTTTTTGCATAATTTCATCAATATACATATGAAACTATTAATTAATTGCTTTTCAGGCTCCTCCACGCGCTGATGTTGTTAAGAGCCTGAAAAATGGCATTGTGCTTAATATTCTTGGGATGGGCGCTGCTGTTCTCGGCATGCAAGCTACTGTTGGTGCTTTGGTAGCAAAAGCTCTCACAACCTCTGCAGTACCCTATTATGCTGCTGCTCCTGGCCAAAGTCCTGTTTTGGCTTTAGATGTTTTCCTAGTTCAGGTAATCGATTGTTTACTCCTATTACCATTTGGCATAAATCATTCTCTCATCAAGGTTTGCACCTGTAACAAGTCAAACAGTGCAATTCTCTTGTTTTCAGCATTACCTTAATCAGCCTTTTTTTGAATAAAGTACCTTAATCAGCCATTTTTGGATAAAGTACCTTAATCACCTTGACCATGGTTTTGGAGTATTGCACTTAACTTCATTGTTACCCGAAAATAGTCCATGTATAGAGTTTGCTAAATATTTGCTTAGTGAAATCACATGTCCAATAAAAAGTATTTTGTCACTTTCTTGAGATCATTTCTGTCCTGGTAGAATTCTTGTAGTAGTAGTAGAACAACTCGGCATAGCACTACATTGGAAGGCGCCATCACATCTAGGAATAACATCAAAATCAATGCAGCCTGCTACCTGACAATGCAAATAATTGTAGGACACTCCAAGGTTAGAATCCTGCAGACATTTGCATACTCAAGATCATTAATCATAGTAGTAGAACCTTGCACATGCAGGGGACAGAGTTGCAGTTGAAGCTGTAATCTGCTACGGAACTAGGGGAAAAAAAAAGAAAATGTATTGGTAGCTGTTCGTTTGTGCTGATCATCGTAGTCTGTTACTACTATTAAAGAGTCTTTAACATCAACGTACTATTGTACTACTACTACTACTACTACTAACCTTTGTTAACCCTCACGTTGAGTGAGCAGGCTTCAGCGAACACCATCCTGTCGCATTTCATTGGGCTGGCGAGCACCCTGGAGCTGCTGCGCTCGGTGTCACTGCCTCCAGCGGAAGCTGCCCCTGCCCCTGCCCCGGCCCCTGCACGGGCCTGAGCCATCATGGCCCATGGGCAGGTCAAGAAAGAACCTTCATCCCTTCGGCTCTACTAGACACTTGCTGTTCCTTGATTGTATGTAGTACAACTTGCATCAAGCTTACATACACATCGATGCGTTCCAGTTCAGCCAGAAACAACATGTTGGCGTAATCCCCGCCGAGTGTGAGCTCTTGCGTGAGCACTTGCGAATCACATGTATGTGGCGCGTGTCTGCTGTTGCTGTACAAGTGAGTGTAGTGACTACTGGTTCGCTCGTTCCTAATCACTGTGCTTCCCGCTTCTTTGCTGGTTTCAACTCTCTCTGGTCTCAGCACAGCAGCCATCAGCAGTAGCACAGCGCGACGACGCCTGGGGGTCCGAACAGTTTTTCTGGTGGGCCTGGAGGTCAGGATGACGAGCTCCACTGGGCATCGGCAGCTGGCTGCTGGCCCCCCCGGCGCGCACGGCGCGCCGGTCGGTACAGCCTCCGTGCACGCTGCCGCTGCCGGTGCCGGCAGCCCGGCACGAGAGGCGGTTGGTTACGGGCAGGCAGCCAATGATGCACGCACATCCCATCCCATCTCGTCCCGGCCCCACCGCGTTCACCTCCGCTTGTCCGCTTGCGGGGGGCTGGAATCCGCGACCAGCCAGGCACGCACGCACGCGCAACACATTGCCGAGCCTGCGTGTGCAGTGTGCCCGTGGCTCGCCCTTATCCTGATGCGATCCCCGTCTCGTCGTCGCCACCCACCGGACAGCCGTACGTACTCACTTCACTGCCTCGCGCTGGTGATCACTGATCAGCTGGCTCGCGGATCCCATCCACACGCGGCGGAACCACCAACCAAACCAACCGCCGCGGAGCCGAGCAACCCTGAACCCTGGTGGACGCGACACGACACGAGACGGCCCCCCAGAGCACCAAACGGGGCCTGAAATATCCCGAATCCCAGACGACGGATGATGGTTGCGGATGGGGGCTGTGGCCTGTGGGGATCGCCGCCCGTCCGTCGGGTACGTACGTGGTGCTGGTACGGGCGCTTCCGTACACGTGCCCGAGGTCTGCCGGTCTCGGGCAGGTCTGGTCTGGACCGCGCGCGCATAAACAAAGCCGCACGGCCGTTTGGTGCGCAGGCAGGGATTCCCCGCCGTGCGCCGGTGCGCGGCAGCAGAGGCGTGGAGTGAATCTTGGACCTCTCATCATCTCCTCTTTTTGCCAGCCAGGCGATAAACAAACAACAACGATGGGGGCGGTGGGCCCCCACCCAGGCAGAGATCGGGAGGGAAGGAAGTTGCAAGGAAGCTGCGCGCGTAACTGAAACGGGTGGGGTGGTTGGTTGGTCTGGTCCGTGGTCGCCGTGGAGGTGGATGGATCTGCCTCCTCCTCTGTTCTATTGATGTGCAAACAAGTTTGCAACGGGATCTCTCTCTCTCTCCCGCACCGCATCATCCGCAGCATGGTACAGTACCGCCGATGTCGGCTGGCCCTGCGCCTCCCCAGATCCACATCCACCACGTCCCCCGCCCCCTCTCTCTTTCCTGATGCAGATGCGGCCTGCCTGCCTGCTGCCGCCTCTGACTTCTTTCCGCTGCCCTTTTTTCCCCGTCCTGCTTTCATTGAGGCGTTCGAGGGCCGTCGTCGTGTTGCGCGACGCGCTGGGGCCGTTCGCCCGTTCATACGCGATACGATACGTGGAGCCGTCTCGCGTATCCGCCGGGGCCAAGGCCTCTCGACACGACAGCGTGTGGGTTTGATTGCAATCGCACACGCACGCGCGCGCACACACACACACGGAGAGACACCTGGGCCCCGGTAGCTGAGCTGAGCTGTGCCCATAACTGCCATGCCCCCCCTCCCTCCACGAAATCGCGCCGGTTTTTATTGCCCCGCGCGCCCCACCCCCGAGAGATTGCGCTCCAGCCTGGCCCTTGGGCCCCACCACCCGCAAACCGCCGCGCCCTCCCCCTGTCCCCTTCCTCCGATGTCTGTCCACCGCGCCTCCCTCGCTGCCCTGCGGGACCGGGCGTCGCGTCGCCCGTGCTGTCAGCGGCGGAGCGGGTCCCGTCGGCGCGGTCGCCGGAGCCCCCACCCAAACCATCGCGCACGCACAGCGGTCGTACTGTCCGGCTAGTACACATGTACGGGCGCGCGGGCGGGAGCTTTGAGGATGGAGGGGGAGGGCGGACGGGGACGGGCGCGACACGGGCGACTCATCAATTCGGCGGGATGGGCCGCGGGTCGGGCACACACCGTGCCGCTCTGCGCTCAGCTTGCATGATTTGATTCCAGCTCCAAGGGGGATGGACCGATGGATGGGTTTCGTTGCAGGTAAATTTTAACGTTCTCCTCCCGGGGGTTGACGGTCTGAATTTTTTATTTTTTTAGCTCTTTTTTTCAAAAAAAAATCACAAATATGTCTCTGCAGGTAAGATTTTAAAATCTGAATCTTTAGTTCGGCGTCATCGTTGCTGACGTCGAACTCGGGGCCACATTGGCGCCATGGACACTGACATGGCAGCCAGCTCGGCGTCGACAATCCTGGCGCCAAACCATCTTACGTATGGGCCCGCGGTTCCTTTCTCTCTTCCTCTGTCTTTCTCTCTACCGTCCCCGCCCGCACCGTCTGCGCACCCGCACCGCCGCGGCCTCTCCCGCGCGCTCGCGCCGCCCCGGCCACACCCGCGCCCGTCGTGCCACTCGGCGCCGTGGCCCTGCCCTGCCCTCATGAAAGCTCTAGTTTGGTTTTGGTGAATTGATGAAACCCTAAGTGCTAACTTAGTTTATCAAGTGATCATGATATAGGTAGCACACTCCAAGTGGTGAAGCAAATGAAGATCATAACATGATAATGGTGATGCCATGGTGATGATCAAGTGCTCGGACTTGGAAAGAAGAAAGAGAAAAACAAAATGCTCAAGGCAAAGATATAAATTATAGGAGCCATTTCGTTTTGGTGATCAAGACACTTAGAGAGTGTGATCACATTTAGGTTTGATAGCCGTACTATTAAGAGGGGTGAAACTCGTATCGGAATGCGGTTATCAAAGTGCCACTAGATGCTCTAACTCATTGCATATGTATTTAGGATCTAGTGAAGTGCTAACACCCTCGAAAATGTTTGTGAAAATATGCTAACACATGTGCACAAGGTGATACACTTGGTGGTTGGCACATTTAATCAAGGGTGGTGAAGTTTGGGTGCAAGGGTAAGAAACTCCATCGGCGTCCTAGACAGAAAAGACGGAGGTCACTGTAAGTGACCGGACGCTGGTCTTGGTTGGACCGGCGCGTCCAGTCAGTGGCAGCAGAGGGCGTGCGTTTCGGTCTCATGACCGGATGCTGGGTCACCCAGCGACCGGACGCTGGCGGGATACGTCAGGTCAGTGCTGACGTACGCTGACGTAGGGCGTACAAAGGAGACGTTGTGTGATCAGACGCTGGCTGTGTCCGGTCAAGCCGGACGCGTCCGGTCGGGAAAAATCGCATCTGGAACCTTACTGGAAACGACCGGACGCTAAGGTCCAGCGTCCGGTCACTTTCTAACTGACGCGTTCGGTCAGCAGACGACCGTTGAAATCTGACGAACTGTATTTGAAGCCGGGGACACATGGCGTGTATCACGTGACCGGACGCTAAGGGCCAGTGTCCGATCACTCAGACCGGAGCGTCTGGTCACCCTGCGTTGTGCCCAGTGAAGGGGTACAACGGCTCTATTTCGTGGGAGCTTCTATTTAAGCCCTATGGCCGGCTCAAGCTCACTCTCTTGGACATTTACATTGACATAGCAACCTTGTGAACTTAGCCAAAGCCCTCCTACTCATCTTCATCATTGATTCATCATCTTTGTGAGATTGGGAGTGAATTCAAGTGCATTGCTTGAGTGATTACATCTGGAGGCACTTGGTGTTCGTGTTTCGCTGCGGATTTTGCTTGTTACTCTTGGTGGTTGCCGCCACCTAGACGGCTTGGAGCAGCGAGGATCATTGAGAGGAGGGTGGTGATTGTCTCCGGCTCCAATCGTGGTGATTGTGAGAGGTTCTTGACCTTTCCCCGGCGGAGCGCCAAAAGGTACTCTAGTGGATTGCTCGTGGCTTGTGTGATCCTCATCTTGTTTTGGTTGTGCGGCACCCTATTGAGGGTTTGGCGTGTGATGCCAATTAGCGCGTGAACCTCCAAGTGAGTGAATCGCCACAACGAGGAGTAGCTTGCCGGCAAGCAAGTGAACCTCGATAAAAAATCATTGTGTTCATCATTTGATTCCGAGGTGATTAGTCTTCATTGTTATTCATTCTTGTGATTGATTGGCTCCTTCATCTACACGGCGGTATAACTTTCTTGATCACTCTATTTATATTACCGTAAACTAGTTATCAAGCTCTTTAGTGTAGCTAGTTGTGAGAGCTTGCTTGGTTGGTTGATGTGGCTCTTTAGTTAACCTTTGAGATCACACTAACATAGGGTAGTGTCATAGCTATTGTGTGAATAGATACTATCTAAACTAGAATTGTGGTAGGTGGCTTGCATTTTTAGTAGGCTAGCGCAACACTTGCTTCGCCTCATAATTGTCTATCCAATTTGTTAAGTGTTGTTGTAGAAATTTTTATTAGGCTATTCACCCACCCTCTAGCCATTAGGACCTTTCACCGCGGCCTCGCCGTGCCCGCCCTGCCCGCCACGTCGTGCATCGTCCCACCCTGCCTGGCCGCGCCACTCGACGTCGCACCTCACCCCGCCCCACCCGTCCGCAGCCCGCACGCCCTCACTGACCGTCGTGCCCGCTCGCCCTCACCGGCCGTCCGCGGCCTGCCCCGCCCTGCACAGTCCGTCGTGCCGTGCCCACCCCTACCCGCCACGCCAAGGCGCGCGGGAGCTCTGGCCCAGGCACGCCAAGGCGCTCCGGCGGCTTGCTGTTGCACTCCACCGACTGCACAGTAAAGTAAGTTACTTTATTCGTTTGAATTGGTAATTTATACTTAATTAACAATAGTTAGGGTGTAATAGGTTGATAGATATAT